GGTTCCGCAGCCAGCGCGTTACCATTGAGCCACTGGGTCAGAATCCATGGTCCATATTTCCAACTTCTGTTAGCTCACAATATAGCGCAACCGCCACCCAATGTCATCGTTGAGTAACTATCCTCACGACCATCAGGCTTTGACTCCACTGGTCACGACTTCTCACTGGAACTTCGGGAATACTTCTCGAAGCTAGTCACCAATGAGCTCTAGTTTCTTTGTTCCTCCAACTGATGTCAGTCTATGATGAATAACAACTTGAAATATTTCCAAATCTCCACAACTCCCTCAAAAATTCAACTCTTTTTTTATTTAATAAATATTTCTATTGTATCTTCTATGGACTTCCCTGGGGCTATTTTGGACTAATAAGTAGTCTAGGATGCTAATGATTTATATGTTTGCAGTGGCTATCTCAACCGACGTTGAATAAATAAACTTACTTGTATAATAATGTAGACTTTCTTACTAAAAGGAAGTGAAAAATTAGAGAATTTCGATCAATAAAATTTGATTAGCACTACAGACATTGGAATACAAGATTGACCAATAAATAAACGAATGTAATTCAGAGACTACATGACTGTTCATGCAGCAGATAATGGACCAGACGTGTCATGTGAAAGCTAATGATACAATATGCTTTTCCAAACCTCGATCGTAGAAATAGAATTCTAACCTGTAACCTACTGCCTATGATTTTCAGTCCTAGAAATAATATATTTCTTTAGCGACTTACCGGTGATACATTATCAAGTAACTAAGGTATTGAACCGTTAACTGGTTTACACTCTTCCCTCGATAACCATGCAGGATAGTGCTCAGCCTATTAACTAGCTCCACAAGAGCAAATAAATTTGTAGACACATATTGAGGTGGTCCAAAGAGGCAACATGCTCCGGAATCATTTGCTAACTAGAGAATCTGATCTGCAGCTTCTCAGAGAAGAATGTCTTCTTCAGCGATCTAGACAGCCGATTCTTCAGGATCATTGCTATCGTATCGCCTTTAATGTCAACGTTCATAAACAAGGTTTTTTTAGGAACTGTGAGTTCTTGTTCCGTATTGTTTTAATTTCAAGTTCTTCTCAATAAGTCTGGATGGGTATCCAAACTACGGAAGGTCCTCATACAAAATGGATACCAATCCAGATTTATTGAGAACTTGAAATTAAAACAGAATTAAGGCGTTTTTGAGAAATCTCCTGACAAATACCCCATATATCTTAGTATACATCCATACTTGACAGCAGCTACTTTGATGCGCTGGTCGGGGGTGTATATCACAATGACCGGATTAGCTACACTGGCTGGAAAGCTTTTTCCCTCCAGATCCTATCATATCAAAAAGGTCTGTTGATAGTGATGAAAGGAAAAGCAATTACTGTCATAGTCTAAGTTTTCATGCTATGATGGGTATCAAGGGCATACTGCTGGCTGGGGTGTGTCAGCAGTAAGGTACTTCCTATGGACGAGCAGTAGCACCTACGGTCAGAAAATACCCCACTATCTTTTACTACGCGAGATACCAGTGAGAACGATATGGGTTCATAGTTGGGGTCGAAACTAACAAAACTAAATACCAAGCATCTTAAAAAGCCATGTGACCCACCACAAGCAGATATCCCTTGGAGTCTGACGTCACGCACTCATCCTTCCTTTTCAGGTACCTCAAGAAGAACTAGCCTTCCATGGTATGGTCAACAAGGGAGTGCCAACTACCCTCACAACTCTGTTAGCACTCAAGTTTCTTCAGATCATTATCAAACTTTACCTTCTTACCTTCCTTCAAGTCTCTCAACAGACATTCGGACTTAACCTAAAACCTCTTTCAGCTCTTGATAGCAGTCTGTGTTCACAGAACAGCATCCCTAATCTCCTAAAACTACCATGGAGCTTCTAATGCCCGCACTCACCCACGAACGGATGTATGCTTTGTTTGTCGGAAGCACATACAGGACCTAGGTGCGGTTGCTCACTTAAACTCCACTGGCCAGTATGATGAACACGAAAATTCACCCTTCGAGTCTCTGGAGATTCGGTGACTAGACCTCACAGTCATGCAGATGTAGGTATGGCACTGAGTTCATAGGTAGAAACTGTACTGCTGGGCTGCATCCTCGTCGATAGTTATCTATGAGCTGTTCAACTGAACGGCGCAGTGAGGACCTAAATCAATAATGAAACTCGATGTTGTCTCTTTTAAATCTATCCCTACACACCCTCTGACTGCAGTTCAGTCGAGTCCTATCAAAAACTGTTTGGCCTCCTAATGAAAGCCAAACGTTCAGGCGTAGTTGTCGAAGCAGGTGGTCATAATTCAAAAGTAGGTGAACTAAGTCAGATAGAAAGGCACTTTCGGGATGCCAGCCGAACGACCAGATAACGGTGACCACCTCCCACAACTCTGTTCAGAAAAACCATCTACTTCTACCCACCACAAACTACACATATAAGGAGAGTCATTGTCTAATGTAGTGTCCACCAACCTCGACTCAGCAGTGGAAAAAGATAGACCATATTACTATGATTTATCGCCGGTGGGAGATTTCCACTCCTTCTGGAGCACATGTTTGGACAGCGTTCACGAGCTGGTTCGAGCATGTATGTCTGCAACTAAATGGACGTCCTAAGACTACAGCAACAAGGCGATTCTGAATGCAGATATTTCAAGCAAGGAACTAGCTAGACAGTGATCGGTACAGAACAACACCACCTGTGCAAAAGAAGCCTTGCGCCATTTCCAGTCTGCTGTAAAAACAGCGTTGAAGACTGTAACTGACTCTCACAAAGTGGTTAGAAAAAACCATTGTATCTCAGAAGCTTCTTCTGAAACAGTGGATGTACGAGAACGCATCCCAGCAGTTCTGAGCATAATGAGGGACGGAAGCAAACCAAATCTAGACTGACAAGAAATCAACCCAATGACCACGAGTGCTGGTGTGCATGAAGGCTAAAGAGATGGAAAAGGCCACGGCGATAGGTAATACCAGATAGTTATTCAGACTTATCAAAGAAACTGGGTGATTCACTCGCAGGAGAGACGACTGGAACGACAGGCGGCATACTCCAACTAGCCTTCAGTTAATATTTAGTTGCACGTTATGAAGTCGGATCCTGAGTGGAAAATTGAGGTAGGGCTTCCAACACTTACGGAAGTGAGGAAGCTATTAGTAGTCTGAAACGAGGAAGGGTATCAGAACTAGATCAACTACTACCGGATATATTTAAAGAAGATGATAGTGGATTATCGGCTAGGTTAACTGAAGTCCTCTTGTGACAACCACAAGAAAATCAGCTTCATGAACATAGTATCTAAGATTTTATTATCATCAGACGTCTAAATGGAACCTAAAAACAGTAAACCTGGGGAAAATAAACAGGTTTCAGATCTCACTGTGAGTGCGTTGACCAGATATTGGCACTCTGCCAGGTTCTGGAGCACAGGCGAAATACCAACGCCTGATATCAGCTGTATTTCTTGACCTGAAGGCGCCATTCAACTGAGAGGTTTTATAGTAGTATCTCTCACTAAAACAGGTGCCGAGTAAAAACACCCTTGCTCTCAAAACTTTCACTTGAACACATGTGGGCTTACTAGATTACATGATAAGTTGTGTCCGATAAGGATGTCCACTCTCCGTTCTTATTGAACTTCATCATAGATATTCTTATGGAGGTCTCCCTTTTTTTAGTAACTTCATAGGGGTTGATCTTATCGCAGAATTCATGGTTGACCTATAGTGCGTAGATGACAGTCTTCTGGCAATTTCAGAATATATTTCGCATCACCTAAATGCAGACTGTTACTCCAGGGTTGGTCTTCACTGGTGCTCTAACAATATGAGTGGAGTGGTTTGGCGCGTCGACCCCAGAAGTCAGGTCAGTAACTAGCAAATCTCCGCCCAAATACATAAAGGCTCGTCTGGCTTTCACCAACTCTCGCCACTCATGGGGCCGCAGTGATATCCACGTATAAATTAAGGGTCAACTATACTGAGCTACAGTTTTCTCTGCTCTACTATATGGCTGTTAAACATGGTCATTAAAAGTGGAGGATATGAAGAGGGCTTCAGGAGTTTGACCGCTACTGCCTTCGTGGCATAGGTGGTGTGTAGTGATGTCACCCTGTCACTAAAATGAAGTCAGACGTAGAATTTTAGGGAAATGAGGAAAGTCACTGCCGTACAATGTTAGGTAAAATAGATTCAGGCTGGGAAAGAGTAAGAGGTGGTCAAACTAAAACACGGCACTAGTTCATGAAGTCTTTGACTTTTAATCTGAGTTATATAAAGAAATGTAGACTAACCGGTTGATGTCTGTGACAACTGAAACTAGTGGTTGGAGATTGCAGGTGACGTGGCTCTCTCATCCTTTTTAGTCCTCTAACACTTTCGACTGCTTTCTACTTTATTTCTTTGTGTTTCAGCCCAGTGTATTCTCACTTAATGTGCTGGCATGAGGTGTAGCAACTTCGACCGTCATATAGTAATGTCAGGTCTCATCCTGATCTTGTCTTACATTTAGTTCCCTTGACAAATTTGAAAAATGCAAGAACAAAGACATTTGATATCATCAGTTAGAACATTGAAAACCTGAGAGCACTGGACAGTTGTTTCGCCCCAGTATAAGACTCCTCAGCAGTGCAAACCTATGACCCCACCAGGAATCGGACCATGACCTTCAGGTTCCTTAGCCAGCACGTCACCATTAGGCTATTGAGTCGGAATCCAACAGTTTATATTTTCAACTTCTGTCTTTATTCTTACATTGTTCAAACTGATCTTTCTATCCATACATTAGTGTTTTCCACTGTGATATAACCTAGAAGAATAATTTAAAAGGATGTTTGATAAGGACTATACATCGAAATTCATACAGTTTCTATTTAAGGATAGACAAAAACTGTTAAAACGTATCAAATGTTGTTTTAACCAAAATATTACAGATCAAATACAAAAAATTATAAATACTCAACCAAAAATTTACAAAATAATACATTTAAAAACTTTCTAAAAATGATTTTAATATATCATTACAAAGCTTTAGAATTTTCACAACAGGATGTTGAATAAATTGTTTCATAATTTGTATCACCATACAAAAGTCATGTACACGTATCCAATTTGATGCATCAGTATCACTTGTATAATACTCTTTCCATAAGTTGGGATTTTTTACAGCAGTATGAAATATATCTAAATTTGTTTTGATTAGATTGATTAATTCACAATTCATTAGATCATCAAGTACATCTAACGATGTGTATTGTGTAGATTTGCATTTTTTCAAAAATTCATTTATTACAGTATTCATATCATCAATGTGTCTCGGTAATCGAGTGATTAAAATATACTTTAACAGTGAGAAGAATTCTTTAAAATTCATTCCAGAGAGTGCACGTAAGCAAGTCTAAGTAAAAAGGCGAAAATACATTGAATTAAAAACCTTATCATGATAATATAAACAATTTAAGTTGAAATATACACGTAACTTAGTAGCTGTATGCTAGTGTAAGAGTTTCGCTAGCATCAATGTTTCAATATTAACAAAGATTGTTAGAGATAGGTGGCGTTTAATTCTCACCTTTGTATAGTTTACTCAAAAACACTTTAGATTGGCGTTTTCAATGATTATTTTTGATTTCAGGTTAGCATTGATCGCATAACGACATCAGTCGGAGAAAATAGAGAAGTTGGGAGCACTGGTATGGGACTCCTCAGCGGTACACACCCACGAGCTGGTTGGGGATTGACCTCAGAACCATTGTGTTTGAAGGCGAATTTGTTAACCATTCATCCACAGTTTCCTACTTCAGTCAATTCGCGATACAGCGCGACCTCCATGCAGTGCTGTCTTTGAGTAACTGTCCTCATGTTCGACTTAGTTACCCCCACTGGTCACGATTTTTCATTAGAATTTCGGGTATCTCATACAGAACAAAGCCACTAATGAACATTAGAGAATATCGACCTGAAATCCATAAATACCCCCCCCCCCAAAAAAAAACACTCAATTTTGCCAGCTACGGATCAATTACTTTTACAGTTCTTCATGTTGTTAGTTACCTGTTTTCTTCGCATACAATATAACATGCTGTTTCACATGTTTCTACCTTCTTCAGTTGAAGTAAATAGCTTTTAATCAAAAACACTGTCATTCTTTGTTATCATTTCTAAGTTTCAGCTACGAGTTACATCCAGTTTAGTAAAAAAATTTTCTAGGTCACATATGCAGGTACTAAAGGAAGTAAAACTGGCATACAACTATGAGAAGAATGTATTTGATGGTCTTGTGTTCCCTGAGTTGTATGGCTTAATTGTGAACCTTTTATTATCATTCTAAACAACAACATCATCAGCACAAACTTCAAAAAGAAGTGTGGGGTTTTCTCCAGTGGTGTACATCAACCTTACGGGGAGAAGACAAAAAACTATTTCATGATCGTTTTCCAGAAGAACGGCTATCTACGCATCATCACCAAAAGCTGTTTCCTTCTAATGTGCCGTCAACCGAAAAGTTAGCCTTGGAAACCGACAAACGAATTGTTTTACCCTACATGAAGAATGTCTCCGAGATCCCAACTAGATTATTGAAGACTTGGAATCGATGCAGCCCATAAGCCTACAAAATCTCTCCACTCTATGTTATGTAAGCCAAAAGATCCGATAGCGAGGATAAACTAAACTTTATTGACAAAATAAATTGCAGAGACTGTGAAAAATACTACATCAGACAGAGTGATCGCCCCCTTCATATTCATCTACATGAACATCAACTAACAGTGAAACATCATAACGTATCTTCACTCATATCAATCCATACGGTCAACTGTGGACATGGATTCCACTGGGAAAATGTGGGAATACTGGAAACAAGAAATACAGAGAATGCTAGAGAGTTTCTAGAAGCTTGACATTCACGTCAGTCAGTGATCAACTAATATATTGATATTGTTACAATCTATCTACTAATGAGAAACAATGAGAAGGTCAAAGTTCACGTCGGTAGGACAACCAATCATAATGCGCGTGGAGAAAATGACAAGACTTTGGCAGAAACAACCAATCACACACAAGACCATCAAGACAAATCACTAGGCCACTTGTGAGGAAAACCCAATAGTTCACTTCTTTCTGAAGTTTGTGCTGATGACGTTGTCTAGAATGACACTGAAGGCTTCACGAACAAACCATTCAGCTCAAAGAACAAAAGACCATCAAAAAAGTCTTCTATAGTTTCTACCAACAATATGTGATGCTTCAAAATAACTGACAGCATCACACTTTGTTTTAATATGCAACAATGAAGAATAACCGTTGAAGATTTACGAATACAGCAATCACACGTACTTAGTCACTGTTACCTAAGAAACTGTTTATGAGTTATGAAATCTCTAAATTTTTAGTGCTGATCCTGAACCTAGGGATGGTTGGGAAGTGTGCTATATGTGCTGAATCTTAGCATTTAGAAAATCTAGGAATGGTAACCAATCTATGAAGCACCATGATATCAGCTTAACTCCTGTAAGTTACACTGCAGGTTTCCTGGTTAGATTCGTTAAAAAAGTCTGGAGTAGTTAGTCGAAGATAGGTTGTGTAGCTCAAATGCCAGGACAAATTTAGTTTATGTGGCACAGAGACATAGTATTGCTTACTGGATGACGTTTCAAGCATAATCAACCACCTGTAGTTATATCACAGTAGCTGCACAACTTTTGAACATTCTATCGCTTTTCATTAAAAGATGGTTACTCAAGATTACTAGTCAGACGAACTAAAGTATACGTAGGCAGTTCAAATACTATTCCATGTAACTGATCTTAGATGTGCATTGTCCTGGTTTCCAAGAAGAAAGACAATTTTTTTGAATGATAACCACAGAAGAAATAGCCTAATTAGTTACTACGATGCTAAATCCCATAATCATTTCAAGCATAACTATATTTCAGGAACAGAGACTAAGAGGAAATTAGGAAGGTTTTGGACCTAACTATGGATACTTCGATCAAACCACCACTTTCTACTAAATCATTAAAAACGGGACTACTTTCTGGCAATAAACACTAGGTGCAATTCTCGAAATGAAGGCAGTTTTGACTCCAATCATCAAGAAGTCTGATAGAAGTGTCTCTTATTGATGGTGTGAAGTCAGCAAAAAACCCAAGTCTTCTGAACATGTTCAATAAAAATTGAAGAGTGTTTGAAGTGTATTTGTTACGATAATTTGGTTGGTTGTGGCTGGCAGAAGAATCGATGGCGCGCGTTCCGTTCTATTTGGGAGTCGTCAGCTGGGTGTGCCTGCACCCCAGTGAGGAGTGATGCTTCTCCCACTGAGACTCGAACCCCATACCCATCACTTCAAACGCCAAGGCATTATTCACTACGCCACGGAGGAAAGTTAGCCACTTCTTGTATAACGGTTAGTAGTTAGTACTATTTATTTACATGTTATTCTGCATTGTTTTATTGGATCGAATTGATCGACCTCTATCGAGGTATCCGCATAGGAGCCCATATGCCAATAGAAGTCAAACAGTTCGATCTAATAAAACAACAGGGAATAACAAGTATGTATTTGTTATCTTGTAAATTAAAATTTTGACTTCAAAACTGACGTGCGTCTTTAATTCATTTGAAAATATGGAATAGAACAACTTAATCACCCAAAAAATCGAATCAACCCTGGCTAACGAAATTTCTTCTTGACCGTTGAAGTTTTGAACAGTTTCCGCTAAATTTCACCATTCATACAGGTCACGAGACATTCAAATGTTTACTCTACGTTACTACATGTCTGTGACACGTGGCCATTGAATGTGAATGATATGAAAAGGCTTAAGATATTCTCCCACTGTTGCCATCTTAGCACTACCGATGAAGAAAGGAATGTACAGGTTAGGCGTAGAGTATTAGAAGGCCACGATAAGATAGGTAACGCGTTTGTGAACCTTCATCGAATGAGTCATGTGTTATGCATACTAACCCATCAACTACTTCAATACATAATGTTTGCTGAAGTAGACTTAAATGTAATGGTGACTAGACCAAAACTCTCTGACTATTGGTCTGAATTGTACAGGAAAGTGTAAGCTTCCCAAATGGGATCCACGAAACAATTCAAATTGAAGACTTTGTGGTATTACAACAGCGTAGACGCATTTATGCCACATCTTTACCTAAATGAAGATACAATATAAGTGTATACTCACTATTCCCTTTAGCCTTTATCTTACAACTGCTGATGTAATCATTTTCACTACTTTATTCTTCTTTTTCTTGTCCCTATTCACCTTGATGGGTTGTTATGAAGTATGGTAACTCGAAGTATATGTCAGGTCTTATGTCGGTTGTCTTTACGTTTATCATGCCTTGATTCCAACGATGAAAGAACTACTCTCATATCCCGGGAATGAGTACTGAATCCTTCACCTGGATTTATTGGGCTAATTTAATCTATCCAGATTCAATAGTCAATCTTGCTCTTCCAAACTGTATTGGTCTTAAGGACTATTAATTTTTTTCTCACCATAGTATCTGTGTCATTGCATGGATAGCTACCGTTAAGTTTTTCTAGATTACTTATCATTTTTCATCCAGCTAGATTCCACCGAGTTTGAAAGGATTAGTCTTTGTGATTTGTAACCTTTCCTACTGGATGACATTGACACGGCTGAAAAAATTATGCATTAAATCTATGATCGAACAGTAAACGGATTACGATCAGATTAGAGTTTATATCAATATCATCTTGAGCTTTACGGTCTATTACACTCGATACTTTTGTAGATTAGCACTACTTATTTCATCGAAATTGAAAGCCTTCTAATCGACTACTTTCACGCATTTATGATGGGTCACATGACAGGTTAAAATAATTCTTCAAGTTGTTATTCATCGAAGACTGACATCAGTTGGAGGAACAAAGGAAACCTGGGAGCACTGGACAGCTGTTTCGTCCTAGTATGGGACTCCTCAGCAGTGCGCACCCACGACCCCACCAGCAGGGATCGGACCCGCGACCTTCAGGTTCCGCGACCAGCGCGTTACCATTGAGCCACTGGGTCAGAGTCCAATGCTCCATATTTCCAACTTCTGTTAGCTCACGATATAGCGCAAACCGCCACCCAATGTCATCGTTGAGTATTTGTCCTCACGGCCATCAGGCTTTGACTCCACCGGTCACGACTTGTCATTGGAACTTCGGGAATACTTCTCGAAGCTAGTCACCAACGAGCACTAGTTCAATTAAATTTTGAGGGGGTTGTGGAGATTTGGAAATATTTCAAGTTGTTATTCATCGAAGACTGACATCAGTTGGAGGAACAAAGGAAACCTGGGAGCACTGGACAGCTGTTTCGTCCTAGTATGGGACTCCTCAGCAGTGCGCACCCACGACCCCACCAGCAGGGGTCGGACCCGCGACCTTCAGGTTCCGCGACCAGCGCGACCAGCACTGCTGAGGAGTCCCATACTAGGACGAAACAGCTGTCCAGTGCTCCCAGGTTTCCTTTGTTCCTCCAACTGATGTCAGTCTTCGATGAATAACAACTTGAAATATTTCCAAATCTCCACAACCCCCTCAAAATTTAATTAAAATAATTTTGTTAAATTAGACGGATAGGATTATCCAACCAATCAGATTTATAGGTTTGAATATCAAGCTAAAGTTTATCTAGAAATCCCAAGTAAAATTTTCGGTGTTTCCTTGTTATAAAGCGACAGCATAGGGGAATTTAACTTTCACATTAGTTGAGTTGTAGTGATGCTTCAACTATCTACTCCCCCCCCCTTCCCGCATATGTTACTTCAAATTTAGGAATAAAATCTGATGTAAAGGTTGTTGACTATTGATGCTTTTTCTGTCATATTTCCTTATTTAGAGATTTTTCGAAGTATTAATTAGATTCTTGGCTCAACCATTTGAATATTTTATTAAACCTGACATTAGGTATCAACAGCTAAGATAAGCTTCAACACATACTAGAAAGGAATCAACTTCAACCTATCTGTAACTCAGATGAAACCTAAAGATATCACTTCTGTTAAAGAATTAATAATGACACCAATGGTTATGGTAACTATTGAACAGAGTCAAGCCGGACACACTTGCATCAATCTAATTTAACATAATAATGAAATTCCTAGTAGGGAGGCATTCAGTTTTGTTGATTAGATCCTATCCAATTCAACAGATCCCAGTTATAAACCTTTTCTATTACTTTACAATCGTAAAAAGTAGTGTATTCTCTCTAATATATAAGGAGTAGTCTCTATTAAATATTATTGATTTCAGGTTAGTATTCATCATGGAATGACATCAGTTGGAGAAACACTAGAAACCCGGGGGCACTGGACAGCTGTTTCGTCCGAGTATGG